AAAAAATCTCCTCAAAAAGATATCTTCAGCAGGGAAATGGTTACAAGACTGTGACAGTCTTACCATGGAGTACTCCTAAAGAATTATTCTACCAAATGTTTAAAGAGGAATTAACACCAGTTTTATATAATCTCTTTAAGAATGTGGAAGAGGAACAAATATGCCTCATTTTATCTGTAGATAAAGATAGTTCTTTAAAAAGCAAGGTAGTGTCCCCCATTAATGTAGACTCCAAATCCTTAGCAAAATTTAGCAATATATATAAAAAGAATTGGGCACCATGACCAACTCGGCTTTATTTCAATGATAGAAGGCTTATTCTAAAAACAATAGATGTAACTCACCAAAGGCTTAAGAATACAAATATGATTTTATCAGAAAAATTATCAAACCATAATACCCATTTATTGCAAAACAAACACAAACTCTCAGAAACCTAGGAATTGGTAAAGAATATCTGCCAAACACCTATAGCAATGTTATCTTTAGTTATAAAAACAGAATGCTTTTTTCCTAAGATCAGGAACAAGGTCAGGATGTTCTCCCTTCCCACTCTTATTAAATATAGGAGTGCCAATTCTGCAATAAGACAAGAAAAGAAAATTGAAGGCATATAGATCGGAAGGAAACAGATGAAACTCTCTGCATGAGCTACGTATCTCAAGCAATCTACAAAACAAGAATAAAAAGCTCCTAGAATTAATATGTGAATTGAGTAAGATTGTAGAATACAGGTAAATCACACAGAAATCAGTTGTATTTCTATGTACTAGCAATGACTACATGAAAACTCCAATTCATGTATAGGATAATGCAATTCCTAATAAAAAATTTCTGCATGATGTTCTATAGATAAAAACAAGAGCATTCTAACATTTGTTTGGAAATACAAAGGAAGTAGAAGAGATAAAATAATTTTGGAAAAGATTAGAGTGGGAGGAATCCCTCTGCCCTATTTTTAAGACCTTTCAGCTGAAGTCTCATGAAGCTAAGGACTTGGGGAGGGAAAGGCATAGGCACATATATTAATGAAACAAAATTGAGATTCCAGAAATATTCCCACCTAAGTACATCCAAATGATTTTGGACAAATGTGCAAAAGTAATTCAATGGAGGACGGATAATCCTCTCAACAAATAGTGCTGGAGCATCTATATATTCACAGGCATACTCAACAAACTTTAAACTGAACTTCATACTATATACAAAAATTAATTCAACATTATCAGAGATTTACACGAAAACAAACTATAAAACATTTTTTTTGAGACAGTCTCGCTATGTCACCCTCTGTATAGTGCTGTAATGTCACAGCTCACAGCAACCCCAAACTCTAGGGCTTAAGCAATTCTCTAGCCTCAGCTTCCCAAGTAACTGGGACTACAAGTGCCCACCACAACGCCCAGCTATTTTGTTGTTGTTGTTGTTGTCATTATTGTTTAGCAGGCCCTGGCTGGGTTCAAACCCACCAGCCCTGGTGTAAATGGCAAGCACCCTAACCACTGAGCTACAGGCACCAAGCCATATACAACTTTTGAAGAATAAAACAAAACAAAGTTTTTTGGAAAATATGTTTTGGTAAATATTTGTAGACATGACAAAAAGCATGGTACATAAAAGAAAAAAGATAAATTATAGTTTATCACATTTAAGAATTTTTATTCTATAAAAGATCCTGTTCAGATGATGAACCGACAAGCTACAGACTGGGAGAAATATTTGCACATCCTTTACCTGACAAAGGACTTGTACTACATATTTATAATATATGAAAGAACCTGCAGAATTAAATATTGATATTGAATTAGCATTAAATCAATACTTCTTTAAAAAACCAATTAAAAATGGACAATGTATATATTGAAAGCTTTCACCAAAGAAGAAACTTGAAGTGGTGCCTGTGACTCAAAGGAGTAGGGCGTTGGCCCCATATGCCGGAGGTTGTGGGTTCAAACCCAACCCTGGCCCCCCCAAAAAAGAAAAACTGCAAAAAAAAAAAAAAAAAGAAAAGAAAAGAAGAAGAAACTTGGATGACAATCATTATGAAAATATGTTCAAAATGCATAGCCATTAGGGAAATACAAAATAAGACCAAGTAAAATATCACCATATACCTATTACATCATCTAAAATAGAAAATAGTGAGAATACCAATTACTGGTAAGGATGCAGAGAAACTGGATGGCTCATCTATTTCTTGTTGGAGTGTAAAATGGTACAGTCACTCTGGGAAACGCTGAACAGTTTCTTTAAAAATGTAGCTATGCTTACATTGTGACTTGGCATGTCCTCTTAGGCATGTATCCCACAGAAATGAAAACATATGTTCACATAAAAACCTGAACACAAATATTTGTAGTAAAAAGGGGGAACAACCCAAATGTCCTGGACTAGGTGAATGGTTACAAGACTATGACAATCTTACCATGGAATACTACGCGCCAATAAAAAGGAATGGACTCCACGGCATATTAGGCTGAGTGGAACAAAAAAGAAAATCATAAAAGAGCATTATGATCCATTCTTATCACATTCTTGAAATGACAGTATTATAAAGATGGAGAACAAAGGGGTGGGTCCTGGAGAGATGGGTACTGAAGGGAGGAAATGGGCATAATTTAAAGGGGTGGCATGAGGGAGATGTTTGTTGATGAAACAGCTCCACATCTGGACTGCGCTTGTTCTTACCCTAATGTACACATGAGACAGTGACATAGAACAGGACACAGATGTGCTCACGTCCGTTTCCTGGTTTTGACATTTTACTGTAGTCCTGTAAGGCGTAACCACTTAAGGGAGACTGGGGGAGGACACCTGGCATCTCTCTGTACTATTTTGGCAAATGTTTGTAAAGCTATAATAATTTCAAAATTAATAGTTCAAAAAAGTGAACACAATTTATTTTGCTTCCTGCATTGCCAAATTACATTATTTCTGCTGACAAATGCAATAATTTAAAAAATATATTGATGGTAGAATATTTATCCCAGTATTGGATTGAGGCAGAAATGACTAGAATCAATGGATTTAGTTCATTAGTCAGTTTATAGGTATGATGACGTTTGGGTTTTCACACGACAGAAGAGTATGCAGAAATTCTGGGTTTATTATTTCAATTTTTTTTTTATATTTTAAAGCATCTTCTAAACTTTTTATAATTTCTTATATTTTTAAAGGGCTAAATTATAAGGTGTTACCTCTGATTTACAATTAATATAGGTTTTGGGGATCTATAAAATATACTAGGGTTAAAAATTTATGATGCAATATGAGATTCATGATCTCATTGGAACATAAGCAAAAATTAATTTAAAAAATCTAACATTTTTCGAGAACTCCCAATGTATTATTTAATCCCAGATTTGTGGAAGTGATGGGATAGTGAGGTTAACTTGCTCAAGTTTACATATTTAATAAATTTTACATACTTGAAGAAAAAATGATATCAGGAATCTATAAATTGAAACTATATAAATCGGGTTATTGTTCTATCTTTAAGTTTTAGAGTTGGGGTTCTGAACATAGGGAGTCTGATTCTATAGTTTCTTAATCACTGCATAATATTACATCTTAATACAGTTTTAAGAAGTTTTTTTTCTGAATTTGCTTCCTATTCATTGCTACTTGTGTTCAGAATTTTTAGAATGGGTCTTTAGTTTCTATGATTGTTTATAATCTCTGAATATCACTATGGTTTTTTTTCTGAATTTAAAGACCCATTTTCTGAATGGTCTTTAGTTTCTATGATGGTTTATAATCTCTGAATATCGCTATGTTTTGTTACTACTGGAAGTGTGTCATTCATCCCTTTTTTCATTTCATGTCATTTTGTGCCATTTCACTCAATTCTCCAATCATTGGGGGGAGGGAAGTAGGTGATTTGAGACAGGAAAGCGGTGGCCACTGTAGAAAGTAATGAAGAATTAAGAACAGCATGGATTATTTTGCTGAAGGCTAAGGTCAGTGAAAAGTGAGACAATAAAATACTCCAAAAAACATAGAGGCAACCTAAGTTATTTTATTTACATTTGCAAACTGAAGATATAGCGATAGTCTTTGGCAAGAAATCAGAGCAACTGAAATTTATAGCATTAGGTGTTATTTACAAGGTGCTCTTTGAGTATTTTTCATATTCGTCCATTGTACTTTTTATCTGCTATTTTCAAAACTGATATACTCGCATCATCTGGACACAAGGAGATGCTGGTTGTGATTTTCCAAGAACAAGGTAAGTGGATTCTAGTATGGCATGAATTTCAGGTCATTTCTGTTGGCTGTTCCCTCTCTGTAGAATTCTGTTGTTCCTGTCAGTAAAATTGCTGAGAAGTGATTGGCTGTGATCTCAGGAGCATGTGATCTTAGGTACAGGTCCTGAGTGTGGTGTGCAGGCTATCTTGTAACACAAGGACTTGAAACCCATCATACACCAAGGGAAGTGTCGTTATTACTTTAGTCACAAGTGGTATATGCATGTATATATATACACATATGGCTTTTTTCTTGGGCTCTAAGTGCAATTTTTTTTTAAGAGTTCTGATGGTGCATTTTCCAAAGTATTCACTTAAATAATTTCAAATCAACATTGAAAGGCACATGGTAGGCAATGAACTGTGCCCTTCCTGTTGTTCCTGCTGTTCAGGATTCAGCATCCTTAAAAGAGCAGACCTCCTTGTTACCTTCTCTGTAATGTATTAGTTCTTATATCTGTATCACGGATTTATAAAGGTACCTCATAAATTCTCATTCTCTCTCAAGCTCTCTTTCTCTTCCCCTGCGTGCAGATACACACATACACAAATAACACCCACACGTGTGAACACACATGCATGTGTATTCACATAGGAACAGTGCATACTACATACAAAATTTTGCATACAATTTCAGGTATTTCCTAGCTCCCTTGAGTTCCACAAGTATTTCTGCAAAGAGAACCTAGAATTTTCATTATTGAAGCTTAACTGCTCCCTCTGCTCTCCCCCCCTCCGCATTATTATTAACAGCAGTATGAGTTCCCTGGGTGCTGTCTGCACAGTCAGAGCAGCGAAGAATCCAGCTTCTTCTCTGCAGATGAGTCCGTGGTAAGTAGCTCTCAGTACTATCCTTCCTTGCGTGGATGCAAATAGGGCATGGTTTCATAACCTTCAGTGATATTTTCCAGTTCAGTTCTTTTGCCAGTTCCAGTTATTTTGGCGGCCCTTAAACATGGTATCTGGGGATTTATTTTGTTAGGGAAAAAACAATCAGTTTCTTAAGGGAAAAAAAAAATTAACATCAGATATATAAGAATGGCACATTCAGCACAGCACTCCACTTGCAATTTCATATATTCCAGTTAACAGATGAGAAAATGAAGCATCTAAGAGGTTTAATGACTTGACCAAAATTATCCGTATGTTTTAAAGGCTTTCTGAGGCCCAGTTTTGTATCCTTTCTCCATTACGTCACCCTTCCCATCTGTAAATACATGCTGAAGAATAACCATGAAGTACGATTAATTTAAAAATAAAACTCGAATGCCAGTTCAGAGGTTAGTAAAGGGGCTTAAACACCCTTTGTGAGTTGCTTAGTAAATAAAAGATGCTACTTGGGAAGGTGGGGAAATAGAGTTATATTCTTTATACCTACAACTTTAATACAGGGGATGGTTTGCTTTTCACTTGATTGCTAATCTTTCGTAAAGATTGTGGGGTTAATAATGGAAATTTTGTTGGCTTGTTTCCTTTCATCATTTGTAATTTTGGTCACATAAAACATTTACATGATTACAAAGTTGAAAACCATAGAGTAAATTTATGTTTAGTGGTGCCCAAAGCTTATACAATTTTGATGTCACTTATCAAGATATAGTGGGACAAAAGTTTACTTTAAAAGGTTGATGGCTTTATTGTACCATGAAAATACCTTGCTAGAGTCCTTCCTAATCCTTGGATGGAGCAGGCACAAGTGAGAAGCCCTGAAACCTAGACTTTATTAGCTTAAGGGTTAATGCATCGTAGGTTGAATCTATGAAGCAAAGCATTTTTAGAGAAATCTTTCTTCTTTGTCTTCTCAATCCTTTTCTGGTGACCATTTTATATAGTTTATTTTGCCAATGTTATTGCAAATGTTGGTACAATGAAGGCCATTGGTAATTAGTCTTATAATATTTTGGCTGTTTTATCCTTCTCCTTGGTTTTTCTCTATGGAAGAATATTGTAATTTTGCCTTAGATTGCCAAAGCTGCTATCTTGGATTTCCAACAAATGTGTGAGAATGCCTGTTTATCCATAGCCTTTCCAGCAATGTGTTTCCATGCTTTTATTTTGCCTGATGATAGTGAGATAGTGGCTTTTGGGAGCTATTGCAGTTAGCATAGTACCTTTGTATAATTTAAATTTGCATTTCTTGCAACATGAGTGAGATATTTACCTTTTTCTACATTATACCGCCATCTTTATTGGCTAGATCACTGTTTCAATTTTTTGTCCATTTTCTTATCACTTGTTAGAGTTTTTTTTTTCTCTCTTAATTTTGTCTGGTGGGGCTTTTTACATATTTATTATTATCCCCTTGCCTGCAATAAAAGTTGCAAATACTTTACCCATTATACCGTATACTAATAATTCAAATTTTAAGTTCTAATGTTAAAATGACTTGTGATACTTCGTTTAATATGTTAGCTACAGAAAGCTGTCAAAATTTAACAGGTTTTATTTTTTAAATGTTATTTTAATATGGTTTTAGATTTGTATATTTATTATAAACACTCACAGAGTTCCTTATATTTCACCTCCATTTTCTTCTCCCGTCATTAGTATCTTACATTAGTATAGTACATTTGTCACGATTAATGAGCCGCTGTTGGTAAATTATTATTAACTGAAGTTCATGCTTTATTCCTATTTCTTTGGTTATTCCCTAATACCCTTTTTCTATTCCAGCATCCTACTGAGGATGGCACATTGCATTTAATAATCACATCTCCTCAGGATCGTCTGAGTTGTGACAGTTCCACATACTTTTTTTTGTTTGTTTTTGATAATCACAGTTTGGAGAAGTACTAGTCAAGTATTTAGAGACTGTCCCTCAGTTGGGACCTTTCTGACGTTTGCTTTATGATTAGACTGGCATAATGTGTTTTGGAGAAAGAAGACTGAAATAAAGTTTTATTTTCATCACATCATATTGAGGTTATATATAACTTATCAGTGAGATTTATCACTCTTGATGTTCTAACTTTGATTACCTGGCATGCAGTCGTAGTTGACATTTTTCTCGACTGTAATGTTGCTCTTTTTCCCCCCATCCTTTTCATATTGTTTTCTTTGGGGAAAAAAAAATTACTGTGTGCATAATCCTGTAGATAAGGATTGGGCATTATATTCCACTTCCTTAAGGGTAAAAAAATTATCTAGAATTTTTTGTATGGAAAATTCTTCCTTTCATTCTTTCTTTCCTACCCTCCCTCTCTCCGTTCCTCCGTCCCTCCCTCCCTTCCCTCCTCCTTCCTTCTTTTTTTCCTTCCATTCCTCTACAAATATGGAGTCATGGACATTTATTTTATGTTTTCTTTGAGTTTTAAACCCAACACTCCCTTATTTATCTTCTTCTTCAAATTTGTTCTAATTTTGGCTGTTGAGAGTTCCTCAGTTGATGCTTTTATTCATTTGAGAAGCCCTGACTGTCGTGTTTTGTTTTCAGCATTTCTTCATCTTCTGACATTTCGTGGTGCTCCAGGCTTATCTTATACCTTTCCTGTCCAAGTCCTAGAATCAACCATTTCTCCAGGGAAATTTTCTTTTAATATTCCAGAAATATCACAAAAGAAAAATCTATTATCAATCAGGGTCCTGTTAGGCACATCCAAATTAGGATAGTTTGAGAAGAGTTTAGTAAAAATACTTTTACCAAGATGGAGTGCAGTAATATCCCAGTATGTATAGGTCTAGTAACCATAAAATTATTATCATTCATCAAACTGAAAGGAATAGTGGAGGGAGCAGTTATGGGGACCCAGAAGGAAAACGATATGTACTAAAGGCATTACTGAGAGGCTCGATGACCTTTAGTGCAGGAATACAGCCTTCTCTAATTCAACCTTAGGAAGGAAGACCCTCTGTCTTTCCCTCCCTGTAATCATCTGTAGAAGTCAGAGATCAAAGGGTATCTATACTGGTCACACTCACAAGACAAAAAACAGGTTGAGAGAAGTGGAAAGGGGGCTAGGTTAAATCAAAGATATCTAGCAGAATATTACTGGACATTTTTTTGGAAAAAAAATGGAGTCTTGTGGTTTCTAGTTTGATTAATATGATGGAATTTAACTATTAATGATTCTACAAATACAGAAGAATTAACATAGCATTTTATTTGAAATGGTCAACAGTTGATTGGGTTGAGTATCTAAATGGTTATTAATTTGCCAGTATGGAAGGGGCACTAAAGCCCTTACATGAAGTATAAGAAGGGGAGACAGTTGTACTCAGGAGAATGTATCTTAGAGTGACTGTCACATGTGATTAGGAAGGAATAGTTTGGTAAATACTCAAGAGTTTCATGAGCAAAGAATGAGAATTGAAAAGGCCCACCAGAAGTGTGCTTTAATTTTGACAGATGTGAAATTAGGTTTTGAAGGTCTATGGGTTTTGTTAACCTCAGGGAGGATATTCCAAATATGTAACAGCCAATAAGGCACAGGCACAAAACAATCAGCTAGGGACCTTTGAATAAAGCAATCATTCTGAATCTAAGTACAGTGTATTTTACTGATTTACATGCAGTATAACCTCCATACTTGACCACCTCCCTACATGCAACACTGCCTTAAGTTGACCTAATTTCCATAGACTGGACATGCACCACATGTACTTAATGGAAGTTCCTTGGTGACCAGCTCTGTATGTCAATCGGTTTGTTACAGTCCCTTGGGTAGTCACTTTATAGAGCTTCTTCTGTATATACTTAAAATGAGTGCTTTTTATTGTATCTAATGTATACCAATATAGATTATAAATTTTATTTAGTTTGGTAAGTTTTATGAAACTACAAATAAAATGAAGAAAATTTCTGTTACCCTTACAAGCTCCTTTTTGCTGTTTTACCCCTACCCTTACTGTAGGCAGCCACTATTTCTTTTTTTCTTATGTAATATATAAATGGAGTTGTTCAATATATACTCTACGATGCCTGGCTTCTGGGTTTTTTAGTAAGCATGTGTGTTTTGACGTCTCATCCCAGCCTTCAAATACTGGCACACTGTTTTTTGTTGACTGCATCTACAGTTTTGTTGTGTGTTTTATTTTGTTTATTTGCTGACTAGTGTACTGAAATTTATCCATCCACTCACTGATGGATGTTTTCACTTTGGGGACCTTTAAATAAAGCTGTTCTGAAAGGCCATTTAAGAAACATTTGTATAGATCTACGTTTTGCTTTTGGATAATTTCCTGGGAGTAGAATTTCTGAGTCATGTGGAAAGTATATATGCTACTTTTTGTGAAACCAAAAAGCTATTTTTAAAATTGGTTGTACGTTTTCCATTCCAACCATCAATGTAGGAAAGTCTTGGTTGCTCTAAGTCCCCATTAGCATTTCATATGGTCAGCTTCTTAAATTTAAAATTCAAATGGATGGGTAGTATTATATTGTGATTTCAATTCTCATTTCCCTGATAAATAAGAATAAAGCCCATCTTTTCATGGGCATATTGGACAATCATCTATTTTTATTTATGAGCAGTCTGTTCATATCTTTCCTTCATTTAAAAAAATAGATAAATTATCTTTGTGTTGCTTTGTAAGAGCTATTTGTATATTCTAGATGCAAGATCTTTGTCAGCTGTATTTGTGTGAATATTTTAATCTGTTATTTTCATTTACAGTGTTTTTAGAAAAGCTAGTTTTTTGTTTGTTTATTTGTTTTTGCAGTTTTTGGCGGGAACCAGGTTTGAACCCACCACCTCTAGTATATGGGGCCAGCGCCCTACTCTTTGAGCCACAGGCACCATCCAGAAAAGCTAGTTTTAAAGTTTTGAAATTCAGTATCTCTTCTACTTACTTTTATGATCCATGCTTTTCGTGTTCTAAGAAGTATTGGCCTATAGGAAAGGAGGGGAGATTCTTTCAGATTGTCTTTGTTCTATGGTTTTAGCTTTTATATGTTGTGCTGTGGTTCCTTTTGAGTTGCCTTTGGTTAATCCAGAGACCATGAAAGTCATAGTGTAGTCCTGCTGCTCCCTTAATGTAGTGCTCTTTCATTTTCCTTTAATAATGCTGTAAGGAATTTAGGAACAACATCGGAGAAAAATGGTAAACTTATAAATCTCATGGAAGATACCAAGAGAAAGTATGGAGGTGGAAAATTTCTGGGCAGCAGAAGAATATCATTTAAAATACTCTTTATACAGCGAGCAACATTGGTCTTGCATCTGTTGTGTATTAAAATAACAGCAATATTAACTCCTCTGTCTGTACATAGAAGACTGATTAGTTCAGCAAGCAGGAATTTCCGTTCCATTAGTCACCTGTTACTTGGGTCTCTTCTGTCTGTTCTAGGAAGAGACTAGTTTAAGCAAAACTTAACAAGAACCGAACTCCCATAATGATAATTGTATTAGATCATTTCCTGTTTAATTACACTATAAAATATGTATAACACTTGCCTATGGTATATAAGTTTGTTCTTCTTTGAAATATTGTTGGTATTTTTAGGTGATTGCCTTTGTAATAATGACCATGGTAATTAAAGATTGGAGACAACTCAACGTTTGAATAATTGAATGACTTTTCCTTTTTTCTAGTATTTTGAGTGGTCATGAAATATCTAAAAATAAACTCTAGGTAAACTTTCCTACCATACATCATCCCCACATAATTGTGGTGATCTTGATTTCTTTTCCTGGTACACATAGGCTTACTTAACAGAATATTTTACTTTATATTTTTATTATTTTCATGCCATCTTCCTGATTCATTATTCTTTTTCTCTCTCTTGTCTTCCTTAATTCAAGTCCACAGATATTTATTATTTAAAGTCACTGTTTAAAGGATTTAGGGAAATGGACATTAAAGCCTTCTTATTATTTTTCTAATTTTTTCTTCATTTTTCTTTCTAACGTCTACTCTCAAGCTTGAAATCTCTCTCTCTCTCTCTCTCACACACACACATGCTGTATATGTATTCCTGTATTTTTATCACCCTTTCTGCAGTTCCAGACAGGATTTGCTAACTCTTTCTTGCTTGCTTCACAGCCTGCAAAGCGATACAATTTGTTCCTGAGGCGGCGTCTCATGGTAAAGCCGGTGCTGAATGGTCCTGCTTTGCTCTGGGCTGGCTGCGGTGATAGCCTGGGGTCTTTTTCTCTTCCAGTGGACACTAACACTATTGATGTGGGGGGAGTTTGTCACTAAGTCCTAACTGCAGACAACTGATGTTTGAAATGGTGATTCCTAATCCTTTGGGGATCTAATGAAATCAATAGACCCTCTTCCTAAAATGTTTATAGCACCCGCTCACACACAATTGACGTTTCAGAGGTTTGTGAATCTCCATTAGGAATGCAGGCTTATGAACTACCTTATTCAAAGAGAAGCCACTGAGTTGTTGCTTCCTTGTGAATAGGCATTTCTAAGAACAAATGAAATACACACACACACACATAAATATGAGAAAATAGGATCTTTATGTCATATTTTGAACAAAACAAAAGCATGATATTTTTTATTGGAATTCAGTGATAGGTAACATATTATCGGGGTGGGGGGTGTTTACCCGTTAGCTTTTAACTAGTTTTTGTAAACAGTCCTGAAACATGTACCTCATGGTAACTTACAAGGCTGCCGGGGGGTTTTCTCTGTGTGGGGATTTAATTTACAGTTTACCATCAGGGCATGACAGAAGGAGAGGAGTTTGAGTTTCCCTAGGTAGCCTTTGGCTTTCAGGACAAGGAAAGTGTATTTACCCGTTTTGACTGTGTACTCCGGAAATAATTTGACTTGCTATTTTCTTAGCTACTGTGTCTATCCCCTAATTTTCAAATATTCGGAGTGTGATTTTTATGTGGCAATCTTCTATTACCAAGACCTGATCTTTCTGTGTCTAGAGTTAGCTAGTGTAAGCCATATGATCGCTTGTAAATGTATTCGTCATTAATAAAATTCAAAATATGGCTGTTACGAACTTGGAGCAAAAGGCCCATTGTTTTTTCCCCTCTAGTTTTGTGTTTTTGTGTATACTTAGTCTAAGTGGTATTTTTTTTCTGCCTCAGTTGGCTTTCACAAATTTTAGTGAATTGCATAAGATATGTTAATATTATGATGATTTACAGAAGTGCCAGTGATGTTTTTGTTTTGTTTTTCTTTCTTTTTCTTTATTTAGTGATTTCTAATCAAGGTGCCACATGATGTTTGAGTTTTCTCGGGTTCTTTGATTTTGTTTTAGGAAAGGGGAGAGGATTATGCATCCTTCCCAGACTCCCTAGATGTTCTTTACTTCACTTTTTATTTTTAAACACATTTCCTACTGGGCACTGGGAGGTGGTTCTTTCTGAAAGACCCCAGCTATGCTCTTGTATGTAAACATCCCTGCTGTCTTCACAGACCATAGTTTGAACGTGAGATTTGTGTTTCATTCACACAAGCTTGATATACATCCCTTCCCTTTTATGGGGTGCTCACCTGGCCTGACTTGGATGATAAATGACATAGGCTACCATAAAAGAAACTCATAAGCTTATAAAAATCCCTGGGTTTGAAAGTTGAAGGCATCTTAGTTAGTTCCTCATCTTCAAGCTAGCTAAAGCAATTGGAAAGTTGTCTCACTGACAACTGTTACGTCATCTTTTGCCTAAGTATTTTCAAGTATTAAATGTTACATATAATTAAATATAAAGTGTGATAAAAATCGAATCAATTAACATGATTAGAGCTCTTCCATCTGAAGCTCTCTAGTGTTTTCACTGTTTTGCAAGGGAAAGAATGAATGAACTATATAACCTGTGAAAGGTGAACTTGTACATTTGATTATTATACTGAGAGAGTTCACACAGATTTAAACCAAGGATTGATTTTGGCTCTTCTGCGACATTGATGTTGAAGGGGAGAGTTGCATGAGAGCTTACTTGTGAGAAGCTAGCTAACATGCTACCTGCTTTCTAATTTTTAACTGCACCTGGTTTTTATTTTAATCCTTTAAAAGTTGAATTAGAAGCGATTTTGTGAAAACGTAGCCTAAACATTAATTGTAAGTTTATTTTCTTACAATGATATGTTATTAATCGATCTGTTCTTAATTATATCTCCAAAGTAGTATGTAAAGATGAATTGTTTAGTGGACTAATTGATGTGTTGTTTAATGAAGATAACAGGTCTTCCTCCTAAATATGCATTTTGAGGTCTATGTGTATATAACCATCTCATGTGTTGGTCTAATTGTAGCATTTATGGTGTGCGTGCCTGAATGTCATATGCTCACCTTCCTCCTTAGTTGTTGTCGTTTCATCCTTTATATGGAATTTTACTTTATAAAACAAGCATAAACCTTCTGTTGGTGAAAACTCTGGTTATTTGTCTTGACCTATCATTTCAAGAGTGAAAAAATAATTCGGTGGAGACCAAATTTAAATAACCCCTTTTATGTTTTTGCCATTTGAGAATAAAACAATAATTGAGATCGTGTCATCTATGTCTCTTGCAGTTTCAAAAACTTAAGCAAAGCAGAGATTCTATCTTCTTCCGAGACGGGATTAGGCAGATTGATTTTGTACTTTCCTATGTTGATGACGCAAAGAAAGATGCAGAGATAAAGGCAGTAAGTACTCAGCTGAGAGAAATGGGGATAAGAAAAAAGAGGCATATTCTGTTAGTTTGACATGGATATTTGTACTGAACTATGTTGTGAAAGTCAGAGATCCCTTGAAGCATTAAAGGTGAAACCAGGTGGGAGACCACACAATACACAGTTTAAGAAGGGACATGTGAAGCCAGTGGCATTTTGCTGTGTTTTGTGGGCAAACTTCTTTTTCTTCTTCCAAGTTACTGACATAGCTCACCTTAGATATTGAATGCAACCTCCAGAACGTGAGATGTATGTTTAAAAATAAAATTTACCATTTACATACTTTTATTTTTAAGATGTATGACTAATCCATCTTATCTGATGCAGCCTTCCTGTTGCGCTTTATTCTTGATCCCATTTTATTTTTACGATAATATTTAAACCACTTTATGAACTCGTATGATTTATGCCTTTCTTTATTTGTTGACCTGTTAACACCGTAAATTAAATTTATGAAGCCAAGGGCTTTGTCTTGTGTTGATTTCTGTATCCCCCAAAGCCTAGACCAGTGAACACAGCGTAATGAATGCTTAATAAATATTTGATGTTTAAAATAATGAGTGAATAAATTAATCTGTTTGTGTAAGTAGGTACTACTCCCTACTTGTACTCCTTTTCAATGTTCTTGGCCCCTACTCTCAACTCAGCCATTCCCTCCCTTCACACATACACACATGTACTTAGCTAGTACAAAGTAAATGTCATATAAAACAAAAATTAAAAAATGTACATATTGACCCTATAAAGCTCTGTACATATCCAGATCTGTCCCTTGCCTTCACTGTTTTCTTGGAAACCCTTCCCCCAGGCCTCTGAAACTCATGGAGTGTCCTCATTATCATCTCTTCTCTCTGAGTGTTCCCTGCAAACCCATGACGACTGGGGATTCTTGCTGTCATCAGCTGTCCTTGGGTCTTCTCCTTTGTTTCTCAGCAGTTTTAGCTCCTGGCTCACTGTCAGCTCTCCACTGGGAATCTCAAAGCACACATAGACGATGACTTTGGCACACTGGCCTCACTGATCCTCGGAATCCTTTTCCAATGTTCTTGCCCTCTACTCTCGACTCAGCCATTCACTTCCTTAGACCGTGTCATTGCTAATAATTGCAGCTCTTCGTAATCTCATTCCATGGTTTCAAATGTCCGACTAACCTCAAAGCTGATTCATACCCTTCTTCCTTCAACACTGCCAGGACCAACCAGATACAATGCGATTATCTTACCACTTTTTTTTTTTTTTTTTTTTTGGTGACAGAGTCTCATTTTGTTGCCCAGGCTAGAGTGCTGTGGTGTCAGTCTAGCTCATGGCAACCTCAAACGCCTGGGTTCAAGTGATCCTCCTGCCTTAGCCTTCTGAGTAGCTGGGATTACCCGCACCTGCCACAACACACAGTTTTTTTTTTCTAATTTTAGTAGAGATGGAGTCTCACTCTTGCTCAGGCTGCTCTTGAACTCCGGAGCTCGAGCAACTCTCCTGCCTCAGCCTCCCAGAGTTCTAGGATTACAGGTTTGAGACACCGCATCCAGCCTAGTTTATAGCATTTTTACTTCCCCTTATATTCCTCTTTCCTGTCTTTATCCAGCTTTAGTCTCATGGATGATGATTGTAATGACTCTAATGTGTGTATGTCTCTGTGTGTGTGTATATATATGTATATAATATATGTATATGTATATGTATATATATATCACCACTTGCCCTCTCTTAATTATATTTACTTGACAAAACAAGTCTAGTTAAACCTCCCCTACACGCCAGCACCCATGGAAGAAAGAAACACACAGTTCACGGATTCATTTTACCTTCTATTTGTGCCCATGGACCTCAACGGGGCCCTGTGCTGTCTAGAAGTCGTACTTTACTTGCAGATTCTACCCTCTCTCACTGTCCTAGATGACTGCTGTGTAACTTTTTCTCTTTCTTTATACCTCCAATACCTCCTCCTGCCATCTCCAAGCTAGCTGACTGCTCTTGTGCTTCCCTGAGAAAATGGAAGCGCGTGGAAGTGATAACGTGCACATTCCTTCCTGAAACCATAGCTGCACTCTGATGCTTCTATCTAAAGCCAACTCCTCCACTTGTGCCCGGATTTTGTTTATTCTTGGGTCCTTTCCAGGGCCTTCTCAGGTCATCCTCAGCCTTAGGGATTTTATTCATTAGAAAGACTTGTGGGCCTGAGCACATAGCCATGCTCACGGCTGTGTTTTATTACAGTGAAATGATATAAAGTAAAAGCAGCAAAAGGAAAAAGAAAAGAAAAAAACCTTATGGGGCAACGTTTAGAGAAAACTAGGAGCAAGCTTCTAAGAGTCTTCTTCTACTAAAGTCACAAAGAATATCCTGAATTGCTCCAGCAATGATGTGTGCTAACACATATGAAGAGTTATCTATTTGGCAAACTCATTAAAATCTCAGTGTCTTAGAGTTTAACTGAGGGTTAACTATCTTGTCACATTTTGCCTGTCACATATCAAAATTCCATACTCCCAGAAGAAAAGTAGATGTTCAGCATAAACCACACAGTTTGAGCAAACAGTTTAGGTAAAGCAAGCTACTCTTCACGGTGCTGGGAATGGCGAGAGACCCCCAGAAAGCCAAAGTCCCAGACACCAGGGCCAGACTTCCTAAAGTTTCAGGCAGGCCTTTCTAGGGATGGCAGTTTCCTGCCCGCTATATTAACCCTCTTCTGTACGCCTCTTTAGGGATGTTGCTCCTATGATAACTTCTTTCTCCTAAATGATCCTGCATTTCATTCTTTACGGGTCCATTTCTTTCAACAAACAAATAGACTGTGAATTTTTTCCGTATTAAAATATAGCGAGTAGGAAAACCTCTTCATCCTAGTTACTGTTAATTCATTAATTTATTCCTCAAATTCCTTCCATCCCAGTCCTTTCAGACCTTCCCCCCCCCACCTCTGTGTATAAACCCAATGGTCAAGTCTCTGCCTTCCTCTCGATAGCATTTGACACTGTTCATCAATCCCTTTCTTGTTGTGTATGTTCTTCACTTGACTTCCAGGACTCCACATTCTCTTGGTTTTGTTTCGTTTTGTTTTTTTCCCACTTATTTTCCTAGTTACTCCATCTCAATCTTTGATTCTCCCAGATGCCTCATTGTTTTCGTGCTTCATTGCACAGTTGTTAATCTTGTCTTTTCTCGGTTCCCACAGATTTCCTTGATGATATCATTCTGTCTCACAGGTTTAAGATCATGTCTGTGCTACGTCCAAAGAAAACCTTTCCAGTTCATGCTTCTCTCCCACCCGTGCATAACTAAAGGGCCACTCTGCATCCCGGTTTGGAGTCTCATAGACATGTCCGACTCAACAGGTCCAGAATGAAATGACTCTCTGAACCACCCACCAAGGACTGGTCCATCTACAAGTCTTCCCTAACTATAATTCTTCCTCATACTTTTCAATAGTTGTTGTAAAGGATGCAACTTACAACACATCATAAATGGTCCTGGTCAATTGCTTTTCAACATATATCTATAGAAAATAAATACCATGGAAATTTGACACCCCACAGCATTCATTTCTAAAAAATATATAAATAAGCCCATTTTTAACAGCTGACATTTTACATCGTTTGTTTTTTCCATTTGCCTAAAATTTCTCTTTGATTTCCGATAGATAATTTTTTCCTAGTGTAAATATATTATTCTTTGGAGTTTTTTGTTGTTTGTTTTGTCATAACTTTTGTACAACAAATATGTGATATTGATTGAGTTGTTTTTATTAACTTTAACCATAACACTCTAAACTTTAAAAATAGTCTTTGGTATTGAATTGTTTTTATAATGGGACATTTGCGTAGTTGTTAATGCATCATGAATCTATTGCAAAATTTGAGAAATAATTATCAAACATAAATAATAAAATCATCGTAAAGACATCAATTAATGATATGAACGGGGGGGTGGTTTAAATCTTTCTGTTTTCATGAATGAAAAAGAATGATTTCTAGGATGAGATGGTTCTACTTCAGTAATATTTCTCTCACCTTTTTACATATGTTAGTTTAAAGGAAAGTTGTTCAGATAAGTAAGACACTGTCCATCACCGAGCAAATAAAATGGAAGTGTCCTACATAATTCTATTCATTCATTTTGCCATAGGAAAGAAGAAAGGCATTTGAACAAAATCTGAGAAAAACAGGTCTTGAGTTGGAAACTGAAGATAAAAAGGTAAATGTAGTTGTCACTTGATACAAGAATCTTGTTTTTTTGAAGTGTTATATTCTTCTAATACGGCCTTTGACTAGGTAGACTTTATATGGAGGAGGGGCAATCTAATAGCCCCTTTGGCTACTCATGTGTGTACTGAGCACGGTCGGGCCTACAGGCACATAGATTAAGTAGATCAGTGTTCTGAATATGAGACGCTTAGTGGAACACGTGTACGTCATTTTTGTTCAGAAGGCAAAGAAAAAAAGACATGGCCATTGTTTCATATCTCAGTTTGAAGGTTGCCTATAATCTGATAATAGTTAACCTTTTCTTTAAACCTTTTTATTTATTGTTTTCCAGAACTTACTTGAAAATTATTTTTAAAGACCTATTTTAGGTCTGCCTAGGAAACTTCTAATAATCTCTTGTTTTTATAACTCTGTAGTTATTATTTCTCTAACGTTTGCTGAACTAATAAATATCTATTCTACCACACCATCTATAATTTAAACCTTCTCCTATGTAATGAGCCTTTATTACCTAAAGTTCTTCCTCTTTGTGTAGGCCACGCCAAAGGAGCTGGGTAAGAAGAGTGAGTGCATCTTGTAGTTTGTATGTATCCCTCACATAATCTAAACAAAATTCTTTGCTCATAGCTGGTCACTAAAACTTCAGAGATGGCTCAGAACCACATATGTAACTGTGGATTGAGGGCTGAGTGTAAATTGACCCTGAAACATATTTTAAAATATATCCTCTGCCTCTGTGTGTCTCTTTATGTTTCTATTTCTCTTTCTCTCTCTCTCACAAATATAAATAAAACATATAAATGTACATATATTTAAATATAGGTATAAATATAGATCTGTTTTTTTTTAAGTTTTGTTTTCTTAAAGTCGTGCTAAAAAAAATTAGATTTTATAAAATTGTGTTTCTTTCCTTTAATTAGTTGAATGATGGACTGATCGGTAACCTTTCTGTTATTTTGCTATTTTATGCAGGACTCTGAAGATGGAAGAACTTATTTTGTCAAGATCCATGCCCCTTGGGAGGTATTACTTACTTATGCTGAAGTGTTGGGAATCAAAATGCCTATTAAGGAAAGTGATGTTCCTCGAACTGAGTGGACTCCCATAAGCTATATGCTTGGGGCTGTGAGACTCCCACCTAATGTGAAGTTTCCTCATCCTGAATATTTCACTGTCCAGTTCAGCAGACATCGGCAGGAGCTCTTCCTCATGGATGATCCATCAAAGTTCTTTCCATCCTCAACAAGAAACAGAATTGTAGGTAGAGAAGACCTCTGGGCGCAACCCTTCCATTACAGGATGTGTGCCCGTGCATGCTTTCATACGTGTGCAAGGTCCAATATTATGTCTGCAAGGGGGTTCTGTGTAAGATCTAATAAGCAGGTGGTATTGGGCAGGTTTACTCTCTGTTTGAACCACTTACATCGGTTAACCTCTCTAACTTTCAAACTGTTGTTTAAAAATGAGTGGTTGACAGTGTGGGTACAATGAGGAAAAAGGCATTGTGCAATCCTAGCAAAACCACTTAATTGAAATCCAGAGGACTTTGATTTCATAAGATTTTTGTAAAATCATTTCATAATCTTAGAGTTCGGGTTTAGAAATTTGGCGCGTAGCAGAGGGAATACTGTTCCCAATGAGATGGGATGTGTCACCATGTGTATATATGGGTAGAGTCTGAGAAACCTCACCATTGTTTTCCTTCATGTAAAACTATTTTCAGATTTTGAACAATATTGTTTCCTCTCCATTTGAAGTCAAACTCCATTGGATCTTTAAGTTTCCCATTAAAAACCTCTCTCCTAAAAGATCATAGTTTCTGTGCCACTGTTTCTTTGTGCTGATATAGAAATGATTTCCACTTCACGGGTGACCCTGGGAATTGAATTAGGAAAGATGCCGAAGTCTTTGAACAGTGATTCACATACAGAAAATGTTCAGCGATGTGAGATATTCTCATTATTGATCTGACTTCCGAGGGGGAAAAAATGTAGGTTCTGGGTTGCTCTTTTTTCTATTTGTTACTTATTTTATTAATGCGTGATTGACACATAATAATTATATACGTATTTATATTTGTGATGTTTCAATACAGGTATAGTGTACAATTATAAAATCAAGATAATTAGCATATTCTTCACTTTAAACAGTCTGTCATTTCTTTGAGGTAACCTTCAAAAGCCTCTCTTCTGGTTATTTTGAAATATGCCTTATGGTTAACTGTAGTCCCCCTCTAATGCCGTAGGACGTCAGAAGTTCTTCCTCCTGCCTAACTGTAACTTTGTACCTGTTGATCGATTTCTCCCCATGCCCCCCACAAGCCATCCTCATTCCCTAGTAACCTCTACTTCTATGAGAAGTAAGGTATTCAGATTCCACATATGAGTGAGATCATGTGGTATTTATCTTTCTGTGTCTGGCCTATCTTACTTCACAGAATGTCTTCCAAATTCATCTGCATTGTTGCCAATGCCAGCATTTTGGTCTTTACATGGTTGAATAGTATTCCATTCTATGCTTATCTCACATTTTCTTTTCCTAGTCATCCATTGGGGCACATTCAGATTGCTCCCATATTTTGGCTATCATGAATAGTGCTGCAGTAAACTGCAGTGCAGGTCTCCCTTTTATCTACTAATTCCATGTCCATTGGATACACAAAGCATACCCGGTAGTGGGGGTTGCTAGATCATATGATAGTTCTGTTGTTAATAGTTCGAAGAACTTTCCTCCTGATTTTCAGGATGGCTATTTTAATTTGCAATCTCACCAACAGCATCTAAGGTCTCCCTTTTCTCCACATCCTCATATTATCTTCAGATTTTTTGATTGCAACCACTCTAATTAGAGTGAGGTGATATCTCATTATAGTTTGATTTGCATTACCCCCAAAGACATTTGAATCCCAAAAAGGTATTTGAAAAATTGCTGAGCATCACTAATCATCGGGAAAGGCTGTGATTAATTTAATCACCAGCATTCCAGCAATCGCAGGACCCTTTACCTTGATATAT